TTTTTTTTTTTTTTTTTTTTTTGGTACATGCTCTATCACTGGACTACATCCCAGGCTGATCTCATTCCTTCTCTCTCTCTCTCTCTCTCTCTTTTTTTTTTTTTGGTACCAGAGATTGTACCTAGGGTGCTCTACTACTGAGCTACTGATTTTGAGACATGGTCTTGCCAAGCAGCTTAGGACTGAGGTTGACTTTGATCTTGCAACCCTCCTGTCTCAGCCTCCTGAGTCACTGGGACTACAGGCATGGGCCACCTATTTTTTATCATTATGAACAATGCTGCGGTGAATACATACATATATATAATAGTGTGTGCATATATCTCTACATTTACATACTCATATAACTTTCTGTGGAACACACTTTTCAACATGAAATTGCTAGGTGAAATGGAATAAATTTTCTATGTAATGATAAGTATAAAAAACATGGAGGGGAAGGAGTCTTGGTTTGTCTTTCTGCATCCTTCACAAGGCTTAACATGGCATCTGTCAGTGTGGTCCAGAAATCTGACATCAGGCTGCCCTGGCCTATATTCAGGTTTCATCTTTATTCCCCAGTCACTTCATCAACATATAGTGGGGAAAATAATAGTACTTGGCTCTCAGTGTCATTGTAAGGCTTAAATGAGATAATATATGCAAAGCAATTAGTATTTAGTAAATACCTGAAAAACAAGTAAATGCAAGGTACATATGGGAGAAAAATGGTAACAAGTTCAGATAATTGTTGAATGAATAAGACTAAACAGAACAATGGTAGTTTGAGTAATCTTTCTAGAAATGAATGGTGCAGAACCATTCATACTTTGCTAATGAAACCAATAACAACTACTTATAAAATGACCAGCTAACATTAGATGTGCAACATGTAGCCTTGGAGAAATTTATATCTGTGCAAAATTAACTGGCTTGAATCAGGATCAAAAGAATGACCTTGGCCTCTTCAGTCCCATACTTTCCCCAATGGAACTAACTGGTCTCAGCTGAAGATGAAACCTTATATAATGGGTATGTCTGAGGACAGAGAACAATACAGTTCCCTTGAGGATACACTGGCTTGCCGGGTTTCTGTTCTGGCAACTAAAAGGCTCAGGGGTCACTCTAGTTAAACTGGGCTAACTGGGCTGTACGAAATAACCATACAAGAGACACAAATACCTTTTTCTTTGGGGTCGCTGTGACGGCTCCTCTGACCTTAAGGGTCCGAAGAAAGAGAGAGAGCGAGAGCACGCGCTGACCCCTTTTATTGAGGAGAAGCTATTCAAATGAGGCAAGGGGTCAGGTTTCAGGGGGCTGAGTCTATCTTCATGATGTCCACTGTCAGCAGGTTGACTGACACCTGGGTAGGCCACACCCAAGGGCACAGTAAGAGGAGCGGACACACACAAGGCACTTCCATGGAAGATTCTATCCTAAACAGGGCAAGGGGTTATATTACAAAGGAACAGGTGAGCATAGCTTCACCCATGGGGCTGTAGCAAGACACACCCATTTCTGTGACTGAGCGCCTCAGCACCCAGCTGGGGAATGTAACTCAGTCACCCGTAAGGTTGGCCTCCCACACTGGTTCACAAATGGAGGGTATTAGGTGATCTAGTTAACTAGCCATCAACACTGAAAATGGACATAAAGCATATATATATAATGGGCTAGGAAAGAAGATGAAACTTTCTGTTTAGATTTTTAGGTTCCGAGCCAGATGTCTCCACATTCATGGAATAGTTCCTACCCAATATTAGAAGATTCTAGGGGTAATGACTCCTGGACTCTAGAACTAGCTCTACTATTAACTATTTGCAAAATCTTGACCAAACTGTTGAACCTCATTTTACATTGGTCCAATGAGGAGACTGAAATAGCTGATGTGAAAGGCTCTTTTTTGACATCCCTTTCTCCACAGAGTCACATTTTCAGAGCTGTTTATTGTACTTAAAAAAAAATTAAAGCATGAAATCTGATAATGGAAATACTTTCAAAATGTGTCAATAATGATAAAAGTAAGAAGCTAGACCCCAAAAGGCCTCATATTGTGTGACTCCACTTATATGACATATCAAATTTTAGGCAAACCTACAGATTAGATGGAAAACACGTTATTAATTACCAGGAGCCAGGAGAAGATAAGAATAGGGTTTGACCACTTAATGGGTATGGGGGCACCTTTAGGAGTGATGGAAATGGTCTGGAACTAGATAATGGTAATAGTTGCACAACACTGTCAATGTACTAAATGCCACTGCGTATAAATTTAAAATGATAAAAACAGTGACATTTATGGTGCATGTGTTTTACCATAGGAAAAAAGTTGGGGGTTGGGGGCGGTGTGAGGAGGGGGAATACACATGCAAGAGAGCACAAAAGAACTATAGCAGGATGCACATCAATTGACACCTGCTCTATGGTACCTGTTAGAGGATCTGGGTGTACAATGTCCTCTGAGGAAGCACTGGAGAATCCAGGGATGCAGGAGTGAACATCACTGCATAAACTGTCCTCTAAGGCCAGGCCCTGATTGGGGCAAAAGTGGCACTAAATGGAGAGGTATGAGCATAATCTAAAGTTCACTGATTGCCCTCCCCTCAGCCCATGTTCTTGCCCTTCCCAACCAGAGTCAAACTGTGCCCCAAAATGGACCTCTTAGACTCATTTCAAAGTTCAACTTCTTCTTGAGAACTGAGCCCATAGGGACATCTCACTCTTTTAAATGCTGATAGCACAACTCACTTGTGCCAGTCCAGTGGGCTAACTGGGCTGTACGAAATAACCACACAAGAGACACAATACCTTTTTCTTTGGGGTCGCTGTGACGGCTCCTCTGACCTTAAGGGTCCGCAGAAAGAGAGAGAGCGAGAGCATGCGCTGACCCCTTTTATTGAGGAGAAGCTAGAGAGCAAGAGACTGCCTGGACCTTCTAGTCATACTTATATCCTCCTAAAGAGATCCAGGGCCTTTTTGCCTTGCCTTTGCCTCCCAGGCATCCAATACAGTAGTGCTCAGAAAATATTTGTGGCTCTGTGAATGAGTGATTCAGGCAGGCCCCACAGGGAGTAGAGTTTTATGGATTTTAATAGGAACCATACCATGAAATCCGAAACTTTCACCTCACTGCTCATACTAGAAATCATCAGTTGCAGCGGTTTTGTTGGATAAGCTGCTCCCAGCAAATTCAACTAGAACTGGTGGTTTCCAGTATGAATCCTCAAAAGGAGTTGTGCTCCTTTTCACACTAAAAACAATAATTAAAAAAACCACTTATATAGCCCTATCACGTTCAACAGCAATCTAAACGCTTTGCAAATGATGATTCATAACGACCCAAATGTAGAAACTGAGGCTGTGAGACATTTAAGGAGTTAGCCCAGGGAGCAGAGGTAATAAGCACCAAGGCTTGGATTCAAACTCCAGGTATCCTGCGTCAGAGAAGATACTCTCCAACTTGATATGGCTGCCTTAAACCCAAGTGCTTGTCAAAAACCTCCAGGAATGAAAACACACACACACACACACACACACACACACACACACACATTAATGTTGATGTATTTGTTTCAGGAGAATTTTTTTTTCTGTGTCCTCCTTTTCTTTCTCATTCAGAGCAAAATATTCTAAAGCAGTTTTTTTTTTTTCACACCTGAGAGAGCGGTGTGGCTCATTTTCGCTGTAGCAATCAAAATGGAAGAGGAAACTTGTGTGGTTTCATCATTGGTGCTTTCGGGGTGTGTGCTGCGGATTGTTGTGCCTTCCTCCTGGCTCACCTGGCCCTCTCTCCCCCAAGACTTGCTTATCTCAGGGGTCGGGGAGTCTTTTTATAAAAGTCTGCCTCAATCCTGGGATGCGGACGGGCCTTTTCTTCCTTCCCTCAATCCAGTCCTGGTCCTGGACAACCTACCCCATCACCTCCGCGGTGCTGGGGAGGAACCCAGAACCCTGTGCCTGCTAGGCAAGCGCTGCCACTGAGCTGCACACACCCCCCACCCTCCCAGCCTTCCCTGTCGTCTTCTGCCCTCCTTTTCCTGAAGCCTCGTTATTACCGCACACACTTAACCACATTTGCATCAGAATCCCCAGCAGCGGCAGTTGGCGGTGCTCTGTCCCAAGGTGAATCCACTATATTTAGGCTTCGGATGTTGTCCGTCCGTGTGGCTTTAGGAATATCTAAGTGACTATCTCCCCACGTGGGAGGCCGGCGTCAGAACCCGACAGACCTGCCTTTTACTAATTGAGGACCCAGGGCAAATTACTTAACGTCTCGGAGTCTCGGTTTCCTCATCGTAAACGGGATTGATACCCAGAGGTTGCTGTGTGGTACCGATGCGGTAACACGGGGCGGCATCCAGCACAGTAGTTCTCTTAGATCCCCCTTGGACAATACCTTTGTAATGCAAACTTGTCTGTTGCCTTTTAAAAATATTTTCCCCCTTTTCTTCCCAGAATACCCTCATGCTCTGAGCGCAGGAGGGGCTTCTTTGCTCACACTCTGGAAAGTTCCTATAATCCCAGTTAAGAGCGCTACGGCCCACTGGGCTCTGGGGTCCCATTCAAGACAACCCGGAACAATCTACTATTCGCTCGACCCCGACCCTAAATCTAACTGCTCAGCCCCAGAAAGACTTTAGGGCTCAAGACCCTAGTGAGGGCAGGCTGAAGTAGCTCGGTGGGGCTTCAAGGGTGGAAGGATGGGGGTTAAAGAGCGCGCGCTCTGGCTAGCCTCCCTCCTACGACTCCCCCGGCTTGGACACCTGCTGCCCGGGACTCGGCGACCCGGGCAGGGCCTCGCGTGCGTGACGGTCTTCTTCGCGGCCCGCAGGCACCTGCACGGCCGCAGACGGACAGCCAGGTGGCAGGGCCGGCGCCTCCGCCTCGGGGGCAGCCTCCCAGGCGCGCCGCCCCCGCCTCCTGCGCACAGCCCGCGGCGCCCGGCCGCGCCCCCTCCCAGCCCGCGGCGCCCCGGCACCCCTCTCCTCCCCCGGCGGGCTCCGCGGAGCATTGTACTCACATCCGGGGCTGGGTTTTGCTTTAATGCGAAACGTAATTAACCCGGAAAAAAGAGCCGAGAGACAGGAGAGAAGAAGGGGGTAAAGAGGAGGGGGAGAAGAGCGTGAGGCGCGACAGACACGGAGAGTTGGGCAGCGCGATTAAGAAATCCCCACCGCCGGGGAGGCGGTCCTACTCCGATGTAACCCACCCTGACGAGCCCCGGCCCCTGCACCGCAGGGTAAGTTGGGCGTCCCCACGGGCCGGTGAGCCGAGAGGCGCTGAGGGGGTTTGCAGGGACGAGTGAGGGCCGGGGGTCAGAGGAGCGCTGGCGGGGGGCAGGCGGCGGAGGGGAGCGGAGGGCGCGCACGCGGGGTTGGATGCGCCTGTCCTGGTGGCTGACGGCGGGTGAAGGTGGCCGCAGTCCCTGGCGGCCTCCCTTACCTCTCAGGAGAGCCCTGAAGGCAGCGCCTCCTCCAATCCCCTGGAGCGTCCTGGGTAGCCAAGGTCGCCACCGCCAGGGGTCGGGCTGCGGGGGTGGGGCCGAGGGGGAGTGTGGGGGCGGGTGTTCTGCTGAGCTGCATTTTCTCACGTTTGCAGCCGCGAAACTTCTGTGCCGGTTGTCGCGCTGGGGCACCGGCCCCGCAACGACTACCCGGGCTGCGGGTAGGGAAGGAGAGCAGAGAACGTCCCAGGCAAGTCCCTCGGGCACGGAAGGGGCCATGGAGACTCTTTCTCTTCCCCCACCATTTATTACTTGGCAGGCCTAGAATGCTACCCAGGGGAGACCCCTCCTTTCCTCTGGGTCTGCTCTGGGGAAGTGGAGGTGACTTGGGGAAAAACTGCCCTAAAACGCAGGTCCGGTGCCAGATTAGGTAAGCCCTTCGAAGGGAGTTGTCTTTCTCGCACCAACTTCTTCCTCACCTTACAAGGCTTCCCTTTTCTGCTCCAGTCCTGGAGACTATATCATTTTGAGAGAGAGAGAGAGAGAGAGAGAGAGAGAGAGAGAGAGAGAGAGAGAGAACAGAATAGAAAGAAAAAATAAGCGGGGGCTAGGATAGAGGCCAGGCTGTGTAGGAAGGAAAGTGTCCTGGCACGTCTAGAGCAGGCGCAGCGGTGCCAGCCACCGAGCACCCTTGTACATCTGCCCCAGGCCAGCCCTGCCCCCAGCCTTTCTCCTTAAATGCTTCCTTCCTTCTTAACGAGCAGAGGTTCAAGATATATCTTCTGCTTCTAACTCCGCTGTCCCTTTCTTTAGGACTCCAAAGGGTTTTTCAGAAGAGTGTGAACACCAGAGAAGGCTGGGGTGAGGGTGGAGAGGGATGGGGTGGGGGTCTGTTGTACCAGGACAACTACCGTGTGGCTTCTAGGACCCCCTCACACTGCTGAGTGGTGGTTATACTTGGGGCTGACTGGTCCAAATTGTCCTAAATGTTGTTCTTAATATATGTGACTAAGTCTCCCTCTTTTTTCTTTCTTGTCCCCCCCTCCTTTGGTGACAAAGCTTTGAACAACATCAAAACAAAAGATTTGAAATTAGAAGTTGTTTTTTGTTTTTTCTTTTTTTCCTTTTCAGTCGCATTCATTTGACAGCTCTTGGATAATAAGGACATGCAAGGCGGTCCTACACTCAACCCCTGTCTTTCAGGAGCTGATGGTCATGTGGAGGTTGCAGACTGTTCATAGTATCTGGAATACAAAGTGAGGGTCAGTGTGTGTTTAAGATACCAGAAGAGGCTTTTAAAAAGTATGGTCATCAATGCAGATATTTGCCATCTCAGTTGTGTGCCACGTGGAGGCAGATGACTTTTGCCATAGCAGAGGTCTAGGTTGTAGTCTAGCCCAATGTAGAACATCTACTGCACGCTAAGTAGATGTTTCTTGAATGAATGAGTGAATGGTAGTGCACGAATTGACTATACTTGTTGGAATAGAAGAGAAAACAGTATGGCAATAGTTTAAGTTGTGGAAATTTGGCCCACTGGCCTGGTTCATGGGGATTTTCTCTGGCTGTGGCCTTTAGACTCAATCATCCTTTGGTTCATTTTACCCCATTTTTTTTTTTCAAATTGTTGGTGGCTGWTATTGGGAGCCTTGCTCACTTCACAGATGGGTAATTAAGTGGGTATTGGTTTGGAAGTTGCCTGCCCTTTGGTAGAAGATTTTTGCAGATCTTTTTTCCTTGTCATTGGTGTTTTCATCTTTTTTTGTGTGTCTGAGAGAGAGGAAGTAGGGCTTGCATATGCCATTTTGTCATCATGGTAGGCTGAAACTTTGTATTTTACTGAGGCCAAATAAATTGAGGACATGAAGGTTTTGGTTGGTGGTTGCTTATTGGGAGATTCTGCAAAGGTGGGAAAGGAGACTGGAGATATAGCTCAGAAGTGTAACGCTTGTCTAGCATACAACAGGCTCTGAGTTCTATCCCTAATACCACCATAAAGGGGGAAGGGACACCCCTGTCCGTCAAGCCCCAGACCAGTCCTCTTTCTGGCTCACCAGGTGTTTGCTAAAAGTACTAGTACATCTCAGGACCCAAGCAGCAAGACCATKTTCTTCCTTTGTTATGTGCATCCAGCTGGCACTTCCTCGATTTCCTGTTCTTTTCATGGGGCAGGTGCCCAGGCGGGTGATGCCCATGGTACAAGGCTGGATGACTCAGATTAGATCTTGCTCGTAGACCACAGTGCAATAAATATCCCTTCTCAATCACTAAATCTGCTGCACTTCTCCTTATTCTGGCTGTTGTAGACCTAAGCCTTGGAACATAGGATCTGGCTGCTGGGATTTTGGTTGCTCTGCCTCCTCTGTTCCTGTCGTGAGCAGAGTTTGGGTTGCCTTACTTTCAGTTTCCCATCTGTCTTAGTGAGCTAGATACAACTCTGGCAATCTAATCTGTTAGGCTTTGGAAAGGAAGGAAGCAGAGCAAATATTATAGTATGACAGCGTATGGGAACAGAGGAACCCTAGCCCTGCACAATATGAGGCCATTATTGAGACAGGGACTTGGGCAGGTTGGGAGGTGGGAGGGATGTGGTCCCTTCCTGTCTGTTCTGAGGAGGCCTTTGGTTGGTGCAGTGGGATTATACTTGGAAGACCCTGTTGACCTTTGTTGTAATCTGGGGTTGCTATGTTCTTCCCTCCCCTGTCCCCACTTTAAAGCCCAGCCAACCTTTCAGGCCTTACAATTTATCTTTCTTCTGAAAGTCCCTTCTCTGTTCTGACCCCAGCTAATTGAAGTGACTTGCTGCAGATTGTGGAGGGCTCAGCCCTGTTAGAGCAGGAAGCAGGGACCTCATGCCACCCAGTGCAGGTGAAAGGCTTTCAGCATTGAGCCTGAGGTGTACCTTTTGGCCCATAAAGGTGACCAGCTGAAATACAGAGGCTGGGAAGTGAGGTCCTCTTGTTTTATGCCTTTGAGACATGCTGCAGTTCAAATGCAAAGGCTAGGGGACTTGCTGTTCCAACAGCTAGGACTCCAACTTGACTGGCTACATGCAAAGCAACTTTGTGCTATTGTGATTCCCCCAGGGGTGGAGCAAGGCAGCTTCAGGGTCCCTTCCTTGGAAGCTGATAGTCTGTTAACTTTCAGGTAGCCTGTCCAAGATGGAGTCTGTAGATCTYTTAGATTTTTATTTATTTACTTATTTTACCTCAGACTTTTTCTTTTGATGGTTCTGGGGATTGAACCCAGAGCCTTGTGCATGCGAGGCAAACACTCTACCAACTGAGCTATAACCCCAGCCCCTCAGCCCCTCTTGGAGACTTTTTAGAGATGAAAATATTGTGGTTTTTGCAGTACAGGGAAGAGTAAGGGATCCCTTTCCTTATGAGAGGGTTTCCAATGGCACAACCCTGCCATTGTTATTTGCTCATTGATATTTTAGGGCAGAGAGGTCCTCTGTACCCTGCACCTGCTTGTCCAGTGTTAACCATGGTAACATGCAATAGTAAGGGTAACCATGAACCCTTTGTTAGGCACACAATCCTCTCTCTCTGTTTCTCTCTCTCTCTCTCTCTCTCTCTCACACACACACACACACACACACACACACACACACACCTTCTACAATGCATAATATACATTTTAACAAGTGTATATACTCAGTGCTTATTCTGTGTCAGTCCTTGTGTTAATCACTTTTTACACATTATTTCTTTTAATCCTCTCAGCCCCCTTTGAAGTAGGTAAAACAATTATGTCCATTTTGCAAAGGAGGAAATAGGCCTACAAGAGTTAAGTAGCTTGTCCACATTTGAATCCAGGTCCATCCAACTCTAAAACCCGTGTGATTTCACTTCCCTCTCCACATAGATGGGTAACTGAAATCAGCACACCCTTTTTTTTTTTTTAATTTTTAATATTTATTTTTTAGTTCTCGGCGGACACAACATCTTTGTTGGTATGTGGTGCTGAGGATCGAACCCGGGCCGCACGCATGCCAGGCAATCGCGCTACCACTTGAGCCACATCCCCAGCCCCCAGCACACCCTTTTAAATGGTCATTTCTTGCCAGAGTTTAAAAATAATCATACTGATCATTGTCACCTGCACATCCTCCTTGCCACACCCAGTCCCTCTTCCTTCCCTAAATCAAGAGATATGCTTTTAGACAGACGTACCTAGGCCACAGATATTTCCCCCCTACACTTTGTAGGAGGAGAAATAGTACTTTCTTTTCATTTTCTTACTGCCCAAGTTTTGGTGTCCTGTGGTTGTCACAGTATAGCTCTGGGCCTTCTATGCAGCTGTTGTTAGAAAGCCCTGCAGTAAAACTGCATTCATTGTGTCTTCTAGTTGGGGAGACCTTCAGGATTCTGAATTTCAAGCATCTCTGCTTCTGTAGGCTATGTATAATCCAAATGTGGCTGCCCGCCTGCTCTGGTGATCTTTCTGGTGGAGCCCTGGGCAAACCTTTGTTGCCTGTGTTCTCTACCAGCTCCATTTCTTAGATGAGGCTGCTATTGAGAGAGGTCATGAGTGTTTTAAATATTTCTTTGTTTTGGCATTTTCATTTCAGTGATATCATTTTTCACTTACTCTTGCCTTTTCTCCAATATTCTTTTCTTTTAAAAAAATTATTTCTTGAATGTGTTTTATCCTCTACCCCCAAATTCTGGGGTCCAGCAGGGTTTGGCCATCTCAGGGTCAGTGTGGCACCCTTTCTGAACCTCCCCATTCCTGAAGATTTTTGCATTCCTCACTCTGCACTTCCGCTGGGAACATGTTCTCAGTACATT